CCTCCCCTATCTTTCCCTCCTCCTGAAAAGTCAGCACCATCCTTATCAACATCACCACCACTCATCATCACGGGCCATCGGCCATCGTCATCGCCATCCGCATCATCACCATGCTTATCGTCAGTATCGTCGTCACCGTCATCCCCGTTATCATTATGATCCCTCGTTCCCCGCGGACCACCTCGACCCCCACAAACCCCTAGAGACCACTGAAACCCTGGGCCCGCTGGAAGCCGTCCTCGAGTTTTGGCAAAACTAGGTATAGTAGGACCTGATTCAGTCACATGTACCGAAAGACGCCCCCTCCGTCGCAGCCTGAGCATCGCTCGGCTGCCTGCTGGCCAACTTCGCTCGCCCGCCCCGATCCAAGACAACATCTAAGACGGGCCATGCGGCCCCCAATCAGCGCCCGCACTGGAAGGATCCCCGCGGACATTCTCAAGGATGTGGCGCAAGTGCCCCGTCGATTTCGGTAGACAGCCATATTCTGGAGCTCCTCCTCCTCCTCCTCCTCCTCCTCCTCCTGTCCTCGCGAGGATTTCGTGGATGCTTCCCTCCGGTTGCGGCGGGTGGCTCGGCCCCCGAATTCCTGGGCTCCCACGAGCGCGCGGATCAAGGCCGCCTTCAAACCTCGAGGACGCAACGACAGTGCGAGGAGGAGGAGGAGGAGGAGGAGGAGGAGGGGGAGGAGGAGGAGGAGGAGGAGGAAGTGTGGAATGTACGGGAGTAGCTGCATGGAATGCAGAGGGAGAGGGAGAGAGAGAGAGAGAGAGAGAGAGACGAGAAAGAGAGAGAGAGAGAGAGACGAAGTACAAGTAGGGGGACCCGTGCTATGAGAGAACACGCTCTCGTTCCTTTCACGGGGTCCAGGGCGCACTGCGCGCCAGATGACTCGAAGGCCCTTGTGATCCACAACGGCGGCACACAACCCAGACCCCCGACGTCACGATGTTTTCAGTACGCGACCCCCGGAGGTCCGGACCTATTCGCCGGGACCGGTTTTTCAACCCGAATCGCTTTTTGACGGGCCCCCAGAGGCCGAAAATAGCGAAAAACCTCCGTCGTGATTTTTTCACGACGCGAGGAGGTCTGGGAAATTGTTCCTGAAGGTTCTTCCTGTGGAGGGACCTGCCCGACCGAATTCTGGACCCTCGGCCAGTGCCGCCCTCCTCCTCCCCCGGCGACGGGCAGCCTCCCGGAGCCCAAAGAGGACGATCTAAGCCCCCGAAGCCTCGGCCCTCCGCTCTGGAGCCTCGACCGTGCTTGCCCCAGGTCGGGCCTTAGGCTTGTAGGTCGGGCAGGTCCTCCCCCAGACCCCCTCGAGTCATGAAGAAATCACGACGGATATTTCCCAACCCTCCTGCGTTGTGTACTCGTTTTGAATAGAGCACTGCGGTCGCGTCTTCCCTCCTCCTCCTCCTCCTTCTCCTTCCCGTCCCCCTCCTCTCCACCCTTCTCCCGATCTGCGAAACTGTCGCCACTTTCGAGGGCTGCTGGGGGGCCCAGCACAGTGACGTCTTACGGGGACTCAGATTCGACCTCGCCATCGCTGGGGGGCTGCGATCCGTGAAACCGTCGCCACTTTCGAGGGCTGCTGGGGGGGCAGCGGAGTGACATCTTACGGGGACTCAGATTAAACCTCGCCATCCCTGGGGGGCTGCGATCGGTGAAACTATCGCCACTTTCGAGGCCTGCTGGGGGGCCCAGCGCAGTGACGTCTTACGGGGACTCAGAGTAGACCTCGCCATCGCTGTGGGGCTGCGATCCGTGAAACTGTCGCCACTTTCGAGGCCTGCTGAGGGGCCCAGCACAGTGACGTCTTACGGGGACTCAGATTAAACCTCGCCATCCCTGGGGGGCTGCGATCTGTGAAATTGTCGCCACTTTCGACGGCTGCCGGGGGGGCCAGAACAGTGACGTCTTACGGGGACTCAGATTAGACCTCGCCATCCCTGGGGGGCTGCGATCCGTGAAACTGTCGCCACTTTCGAAGCCTGCTGAGGGGCCCAGCACACTGACGTCTTACGGGGACTCAGATTAGACCTCGCCATCCCTGGGGGGCTGCGATCCGTGAAACTGTCGCTACTTTCGAGGGCTGCTGGGGGGGGGGGCAGCGGAGCGACGTCTTACGGGGACTCAGATTAGACCTCGCCATCCCTGGGGGGCTGCGATCTGTGAAACTGTCGCCACTTTCGAAGGCTGCTGGGGGGCCCAGCACAGTCTGCACACGCGGCGGACTCAAATGGGACCTCGCCATCCCTGGGGGGCTGCGATCTGCGAAACTGTCGCCACTTTCGAGGCCTGCTGGCGGGGCCCAGCACAGTCTGCACACGCGACGGATTCAAACTAGACCTCGCCATCCCTGGGGGGCTGCGATCTGCGAAACTGTCGCCACTTTCGAGGCCTGCCCAGCACAGTCTGCACCCGCGGCAGATTCAAATTAGACCTCGCCATCCCTGGGGGGCTGCGATGTGTCAACTGCGCCACTTTCGAAGTCTGCTGGGGGGCCCACACAGTCTGCACTCCGCGGCGGACTCAAACGGGACGCTCGCCATCCCTGGTGGGCTGCGATCTGCGAAACTGGACGCAACTTTCGAAGGCTGCTGTGGGGCCCGCACAGGGGGGGGCCCAACACAGTCTGCACCCGCGGCGGACTCAAATGGGACCTCGCCATCCCTGGGGGGCTGCGATCTGTGAAACTGTCGCCACTTTTGAGGCCTGCTGGGGGGCCCAGCACAGTCTGCACCCGCGGCGGATTCAAATGGGACCACGCCATCCCTGGGGGGCTGCGATCTGCGAAACTGTCGCCACTTTCGAGACCTGCTGGGGGGCCCAGCACCGTGTGCACCCGCGGCGGACTCAAATGGGACCTCGCCATCCCTGGGGGGCTGCGATCTGCGAAACTGTCGCCACTTTCGACGCCTGCTGGGGGGCACAGCACAGTCTGCACCCGCGGCGGATTCAAATGGGACCTCGCCATCCCTGGGGGGCTGCGATCTGTGAAACTGTCGCCACTTTCGAGGCCTGCTGGGGGGCCCAGCGCAGTGGGTACCCACGGCAGACTCACATGGGACCTCGCCGGTCCCCCGCATCAGAGTCTGCCCCGCGGCGGACTCAATGGTACCTCGCCATACCTGGGGGGCTGCGATCGGTGAACTTTGCCACTTTCGAGCCTGATGGTGGGCCCGGGCACAGTCTGCACCCCGGCGGATTCAAAATGGGACCTGCCGTCCCCTGGTGGGGTTTCGATCTGCGAAGCTGTTCTACACACGTTCGAGGCCTGCTGGGGGGCCCAGCACATGTTGGTACACACGACGGAACTCAAATGGGACCTCGCCATCCCTGGGGGCTGCGATCTGGCGAGACTGTCACCACTTTCGAGCCTGCTGGGGGTGCGGCCACAGTGGGGCACCAGCTGCGGATTCAAATGTGACCTCGCCATCCCTGGGGGGCTGCGATCTGCGAAACTGTCGCCACTTTCGAGGCCTGCTGGGGGGCCCAGCACATTGGGTACCCACGGCGGACACAAATGAGACCTCGCCATCCCTGGGGGGCTGCGATCTGCGAAACTGTTTCCACTTTCGAGGCCTGCTGGGGGGCCCAGCACAGTGGGCACCCACGGCGGATTCAAGTTGACCTCGCCATCCCTGGGGGGCTGCGATCTGGGAAGCGGTCGCCAGTTTCGCGGCCTGCTGGGGGGGGGGGGGCAGCACAGTGATGCCACACGCAGATTCAAATTAGACCTTGCCATCCCTGGGGAGGTGCGATCTGTGAAACCGTCGTCACTTTCGAGACCTGCTGGCGGGGCCCAGCACAGTGACGCCTCCCAAGTAGCTTACACATCAAGTCGATTGTCCATACAAGTTTCGGCCAACTCCTCGTTTCCATTTGATACAGTGGTGTAACAAAAATCGGGACAGCAATTTTTTCTGTATGTTCGGCCTCTGTGCCTTCCCGGCCCTCGGGACCGTCAAAACGACTCAGAGTGAAAAACCGGTCCCGCGAAGGGGTCCGACCTCTGGGGGTCGCGTCACTGAAAAAAACATGACTAGGGGTCTGGGCCTACAGGCGGGTTCTGGACAACAGTATATACGTATATATATATATATATATATATATATAAATTATAGATATACATAGATATATATATATTCAAAGCATGCGCCCAAACCATGCTCACGAATATGCAAAAAACCGTACCCGTATTATTTTGGACTGTTATTGAATACCCCTCCTGTAGGGGGACAGGCCGGACTTAATGCTTGCCCTCCTTAAGGGAGGCATCGGCGGGAATCGGCAGCCGAGTCGGAAGGAGTCGGATCAGATGAAATCGGCAGGTCTAGTAGGCCTTACGGGAGGAATCGGAACCCGAATCGAGATCCGAAGCCGAAGCCGAATCGAATCGGAACCGGGAGCCATCGAAGTCGAATCGGAGAACTCGAAACGAGCCCTGTCATCGCTCATCCCATCCCCCGCACAATAAAGCATCCCCCTTTCCCCTTGTCTCTCTATCCACGCGATTGAACAACACCCAGCGGGGAGGCCGAACTCTCCTATCCCATCCGACGGTCCTGTCGCGGCTCGGATGGGGAGGATGTCTCGGGCGCAGCGCGGCCCAGACATCTTAGCATCGATATCTCCGGGAAACAAGTGATTCTCCCGCCTGGAGGGGATTCTTCTCACTAGCGTCGTCAGCGGGGAAGCGGCTCAGGGGGAAACATATCGACCTGGAATCGGCGATGCCTTGCCGACTGATCAGCGATGGGCACCCGATAGCGAAGCGTTCAGGGGCGGGACGGGCTACGAGGCTCCTGTCGGCGATGAGCGGGCGATTGGGTGTCGATGCGTCCCCCTTGAGCCTGTCCCCCCAGTAGCGTTGCCCCTGACTCCTCCTCCTCCTCCTCCTCCTCCTCCTCCTCCTCCTCCTCCTCCTCCTGCTCCTCCTCCTGCTCCTCCTCCTCCCATTCCTCGGCGGACTCGGAAACGGGCACGAATGTCCTTCACCTCCGTCGAGGTGGCGCAGCCGGCGAGGGTCTGCTCGCACTCGCCGAGCTTCTCCTTCCCGCCCGGGAGTGCCGAGAGGGAGGGAGGCTGAGGATGGGGAGGAAGAAGGAAATAGGGAGGAGAGAGGGATGAGGAGGGAGGGGAGGAGAGGGGAGGATGAGGATGGGAGGGAGAGGGAGGGAGGGAGGATGAGGATGGGGAGGAAGAAGGAAATAGGGAGGAGAGAGGGATGATGATGAGGAGGAGCAGGAGGCAGGGCCGGCCGCTTCGCTTTTTCCTGGCCACGAGGCGCAAAGAAAAGATCTGATCGATGTCCGCGCAACGTCAAGAAGCAGGAAGCAGGGAGGGAGGAGAAGGAGGAGGAGGAGGAGGAGGAGGAGGAGGAGGAGGAGGATGGAGGAGGAGGAGGAGGAGGAGGAGGAGGAGGAGGAGGATGGAGGAATGAGGAGGATCGAGGCCCTTGAGTGTGTTGGGCCTTGGGCGAGCTGGGACGTTTGGACGATATGGTCCTTTGACGTGTTTCGGCGTGTGTTGAACGCTTGGTCGTCCATGAGGCTTCTCGTGGACACGGCTGGATGCGGGTCCAAAACCTTGCGCGAAGAGGACCCGTGGAGAGGTCGGGGGGGGGGGGGGGGCCGATTTCATTGGGAGAGGAAGCAGCGAAAAGAAGGAGAGTATGGGGGTAGATCAGTAGGAGAAGGAGGACGATGAGGAGGACGGGGAGGACGAGGAAAGGGAGGAAGAAGCAGGCGAGAACGATGACGAGGATGGGGGAAGGAGGAGGGAGAGGGGGAGGGGACAAGCAAGGTTCGCTCGCGCCTCATCTGACACCATATTCCTCCCTCCCATCCCTACTCATTGCGCTTCATGGTTTCTCGGACCGCGGGCGCGTGTCATAGCCGACCCGGCAGTCCAACAAAAGAACACCATCGAATTATGCGCAATCGAAGAAGACGAGCTGCGTGCATAGTAGGAGGAGGAGGAAGAGGAGGAGGAGGAAGAGGAGGGGCGGAGGATGAGGAGGAGCAGCAGCATCAGGATGAGGAGGAAGACGAGGAGGACGAGGAGGAACATGTGGCGGTTGAGCAGGAGGATGAGCAGGAGGAACAGGAGGAGATTGTGGAGGGAGGAGGATGAGGACGAGCAGCAGCAGCAGCAGCAGGAACTGGAGCGGAAGGAGCGCGAGGAACACGGGGGCCAGGGGGAGGCCGAGGAGGGGAAGTCAGGGAGGCGACATTGATGAGAACGGACTCAGATCCAGAAAAGTGGTCCAGGCTGGGGCGAGGGCGCCTTTCTGAACGACATGAGCAGGGCACCCTTCTGAAAATGAGGCCCACGCTGCAGCGGGAGTACCGGTCTGAAGCACCGAAAACAATCAGATTGGAAATCACCACATGAAAAAACACACACAACTATATTGTTGACATCCTGTGCAAAAGACCACACGCGGAGAGGGTCGAACATCTTCCACACGGAATCAGGGGAGCGAGAATAACATAATCCAAACTGTTCCCCGAACAACGTTTGCACCTCGGCGTTCCTACTTGTTCGTCTGAGGGAACGGGGCCTGTGGGTCGGTCTGGCGGCTTTGTTGTCGCCGTCGCCGCCCCGTCGCCACCTCGTCGCCGCCCGTCGTCTGGGCCTGCGGGTCGGTCTGGCGGCTTTGTTGTCGCCGTCGCTGCCCCGTCGCCGCCCCGTCGCCGCCCGTCCTCTGGGCCTACGGGTCGATCCGGCGGCTATGTTGTCGCCGTCGCCGCCCCGTCGCCGCCATGTCGCCGCCCGTCGCCGTAGCCGCCGCCTCGTCGTCGCTGCTACTGGGCCTCATAGCTTGCACCACATATATTGCACCAGACCGATTGCACCACACAGTCTACAACACAGATTGCACCGCATAGGTTGCTCCGCAACGCGTGCACCACATAGGTTACACCACACAGGTTACACTTCGTTGAGTGCATCACATGAACTGCACCACCTAGCTTACACCACATAGACTGATCCACATTGCTTAGTTACACCTCATAGTTTGCACAAGTTTTGCACATAGCTTACACCACATATATTGCACCATACATGTTGCTCCATATCATCACTTACACCAAAGACTGCACCTCATAAATGGCTCCACATAGCTTGCAAGTCATCGCTGCTTTGGGCTCGCGCTGGCTAAGATGTCAGTGTTGAGGCAGAGGATGAGGAGGCGGAGTAGGAGGAGGAGCAACAGGAGGAGGATGAGGATGAGAAGGAAGGGGGGCAGGGCACCGACGAGGAGGCCACTGAGGAGGAAGAGTACGACAAGAAGAGGGAAAGAAGGGAGGTGCGGGGAAGAGAGAAGATGAGGCAGAGGAGGAAGAGGGAGAAGATGGCGGCGACAAGGAGGAAGAGGAAGAGGACGAAGAGGGGGTGAGCAGGGGGTAAGGGGGAGGAGGAGAAGGAGGAGGAAGAAGAGGAGGAGAAGGAGAAGGAGGAGTAGGAGGAGGAGGAGGAGGAGGAGGAGGAGAAGGGGAGAAGGAAAACACCGGGAGGAGGAAGAGGAGGATGAAGTGGACGGCGCCGAGACAGCGGAGGAATTTGCTGAGGAGGTCGGATGTAGGGTAGAAGGGAGAGGGGAGGTATAAGGAGGATGAGGATCTGTGGGAGCAAGAAGATGAGGATCGGGAGGAGGAGGAGGACTAAGAGGATGGAGGACATAGAAGGGGAGATGCGTGAGAGGAAGCTGCCGAGGAACATGGGGGAGGAGGCAACGAGGAGGGCACAGAGGAGGACGAAGAGGGGGAATACAGTAGGGGCCCGACCAAACCTCCCACAAGAAACCCAACCCTGAGACCCCAGGACGTCCATTGATGTTTGGTGCGCGAACTTCACTCTTTCAAGCGCAAAACCATCGAACCCCAAGAAACCCAGGGCATCCTGGAGGCAAGCAGGGTGTTTCTTGACATGGGCCACCAGTGCAATGGGGATGACACAGGTTCGGACGACGACGAATGCCGCTGGATGGGCGGGACAAAGAGAATGGTCTAAAAGACGAGGGCGAACACAACGGTGCCCAGAGACGAGGATGAGGAGGGGGCGCGGCAGCAAGAGATGCGGCGTTGGGCAAGTTCCTCTCGCCGCGTGGAGCACCCTTCGCGAGGAGCGGATCACCAGGCCATGCCCTCCTTCATGATGCGATCCATGCTTGGGCACATTTCCTGGCACTTGTTCGCAACGTTGTGCAGCGGCGTGGGGAAGTGGCCGTTCTCAAGGCGATCCACCATCACCTCGATCCCCGAGACCTGCTTTCGGACGGGA